GCATGTGGGGGTCTCACTGTATATATAGTGCAAGCATACCCTTTCATTTCATACTTGTTGCATTTTAAATAATGTCTCTACAGATCAATTCCAATCAAGGATGGCGATCAAATACAAGAATGCTGTTACCAGCTTACTGACTCTTTAGTTTGTGCACCCCTGATGGGAGGAATTCCCAAAACAAATGACCCCAGTCAAAACGTTTTCAAATACATGGATGGAGAAATGACGCCTTTCCAATCATGCTGCAGAAGTGAGGCTCGCAGTGTACTCAAACAACAGACTTGCAGAATGTACTATGAGAAACTAGGATCTGATTGTGGAACCAAATATAACACAGATGAAGTTAGAGCAAACGCTTATGCTCATGGTGACCCCATTTTCACCACATTTGATAGAACACATTATGCATTCAACGGCTTTGGAGAATACCATTTCATCAGGAGTCCAGATTGCAATGTCCAGGTATATATTTTACCCCACTTGGAATAAAAAAACCCATTTTTCTAAAAAAATGTTGAGTGTATAACTGCAGTTGAACCGCTCTCCGTCAAATTTTAAGGTCCCTTCAATTTTAACTCACAATGAGACATTTGGCCTGATAAGCATTGGTTAATCAATTAAATTTATTTTCTTGCCTAATTGTGAGAAGTGTTCAATATTCATTGGAATCTTGTAGGAAGTTGTCTTATTCCTTGTGGAAAAGCATTGAGGAAACATTTTCAATTTTTTCTAGATCAAGCTTTCTATAGAATCCGGCCCTTGGGTAATAACACAAAGGCGTTGGAAATTTGAATATGGGAGGTTGGATCAAAATGTTTCAAGTTATGGATGTTTAAAATGCATTTGAGAAAATAGGTAAAGACTTTTCAGACAAGCATTGAAAGTTGGGAGATTTTTTTATTATTCAGGTTTCACTTAGTCCCTCTGTTGTGGAGCTGTGATATATTTTCAGAATTTTTATCCGCAAGAAGCACACACACAAAAAAACTAGTTTTATCTGCAGAGCCAAAATGCAGAAAAATATCAAATTGTTATAATTGTGCAGAAAAAATAATTATTTGCTGCTGGGGAATTTTTTTTTTGCATTCTTGCCAAGGGAGTAGTACTGAATGAATGAATGAACAGAAAACTTTATTTGCCGCTTTTCAGCGT